TGTCAGGGGCGGAAAATGGCCGCGGACCACGTGTCAGGGGCGGAAAATGGCCGCGGACCACGTGTCAGGGGCAGAAAAATGGCCGTGGACCGTGTCACGGGAGGGAAAATGGCCACATATCCTGTTCGTACCCTGAGGCAGAGTTCACAAACCGAGGTAAATTTTTGCAGCCGGAGCTGGTCGTAACCCGAAAAGTTTGTTAACAGAGGCGTTCGTAACCCGAGGTACCACTGTAATTACCCTGAGGCAGAGTTCACAAACCGAGGTAAATTTTTGTAGCCGGAGCTGGTCGTAACCCGAAAAGTTTGTTAACAGAGGCGTTCGTAACCCGAGGTACCACTGTAATTACCCTGAGGCAGAGTTCACAAACCGAGGTAAATTTTTGTAGCCGGAGCTGGTCGTAACCCGAAAAGTTTGTTAACAGAGGCGTTCGTAACCCGAGGTACCACTGTAATTCAGCTTTTTTTTTTTAACTGACTTCACTGAAGAGTTCTTGAAATTCAAAAGGCTGCAATTATTTTATGTAATTTCATCTAGCCGAATAAAAAGCTCCTGCTATTATTTTTTTACAAGGCTACTATTGCTTCATATGGGAATTGGAATATACCACATTTACCCATTCTATAGAGGGTTCCTGTTCAGGAATATGAAAACACTTTGCTATGACTTTTATTTCAGGATTCATTGCCACCTATCACTAGGTACTCCTACCTAGTTTGGCTTTAATTGATTTTATTGCTAACTCCAACAGCTAGAATTATAACAATCTTTGTTAACATAAAGGCTGTTTGGTTTATTTTGTTTTCCATTGGTTAGTAGATCTGTATAATTCTGATAGAATGGGCAAAAAAAAACTTCAACAGCTGGACTTTATATTTGGAAAAATGACAAATGTTTACTTACATCTTCTTTCCTGCAAACTTTGGAAGAATCATAACCTAATATTACTCTGTATCTGATAGGCCTGCTCATGTCTGAAGACTCTCAGTCATTCTATCCAAGAATATAACAGGGCAGGCACAGGTCCATGATCAATCACACGTTTTTCTTCTCTCCCCTATTTTTTTCCCCTTAACCAATTTGCTTAAAGAGTTCTTTAAATTTGAAAACTTATAACAATTTTGTATAACTCCATCTCACCTAGGAATTTTGAACAGTATTACTACACATCGTGATGATGATGATGATATTGATGATGATGAGCCAGATTAAAATCAAGTGATAGAAATTACAGGGAATATTTCAGAAAATATTAGGAGTGTTCTCCCATACAGAAGAGCTGTTGATGCTGAAAAATTTTGCCTTGACCACTGTTGGATATTCCTTCAGAGATTGGTGGATTATCCATTTGGAAGGCTGCATTTGCATCCTTTGATCAAGACTGTGATGGGAGAAAGTATTCAAAGACCACATCGTTGCATTCCATACTTGATACAGTTCTGATCTCCTGTATCTCTATTGTCATTGACCAAGCAACAACAGAAGTAAACCTGAAGTATGTTCAAAGA